GGTGTGGGACCTTGTACAAGTTACTTAATAAGTGTAAATCTCAATTATTTCATCTAAAAAATGAAGATCATAGTACCTATCTCGTAGGGTTGCTGTGAAGAGTAAATGAGTTAATGCACATTACACTTTTATCCAAGTGTTTGGCAAGAGTGGGCACTGACAAATGTTTTTGTGGTCTTATTATCACTACCACCAATCATCATCATCACCACCACCAGCACCACCATCACCATCATCATAATACCCATCCTCAGCATTCCTGAGTAATAAGGATGGTGACTCATTTTCTGGTTGATATTACACTATTTGCATCCCTAAGCTAGAGGTACATGAAATGTTTCCTTAGACTACTTCCCACTTACTTTCAGATCACGTTGATCTTACCCCACCCATGGTGCAGTTATGGAACATACTTATAGATAAAATTCTGGAATATGGTTGAATTTGACCCATCATTTCAAATGCCTTTGTAGTTTTTCTTTATGTAAGTATTTATTTATATACTTGGGAGAGGATAAATAAGTACAGTAAACCCCTTTATCCACAGGGAATACGTTCCAAGACCCCCACTGGATGCCTGAAACCACAGATAGTACCGAACCCTATAAATACTATGTTTTTTCCTTTACATACATACTTATGATAAAGTTTAATTTATAAATTAGGCACAGTAAGAAGTTAACAACAACTAGGAATAAAATAGAACAATTAAAACAATACATTGTAATAAAAATTACCATAGATCTTAGCAACCTCAGCATAGGATTTTTTGTCTTCTTTCCTTATTAAGTCAAGAACTTTCACCTTTTCACTTAAAGGAAGCACTTTACAGCTTCTCTTTGGCATATCCGAATTGCCAGCATCACTGCTCTTGTGCTTTGGGTATTATTAAGTAAAATAAGGGTTACTTGAACACAAGCACTGCGATACCTTGATAGTCAATCTGATAACTGAGATGGCTACTAAGTGACCACCGGGTGGGTAGCGTATACAGTGTGGATACACTGGACAAAGGGATGATTCACATCCCAGGCAGGATGGAGTGGGGATGGTGGAGATTTCATCACACTACTCAGAATAGCATGCAATTTAAAACTTATGAGTTGTTTATTTCCAGAATTTTCCATTTAATATTTTCGTGCCTCGGTTGACCATAAGTAACTGAAAGCGCAGAAAGTGAAACTGCAGATGGGGCACTACTGTACCAAACTTAACCCTTATGACTTATGGGTATTTAATGTAAAATATCTCTTTGAAAATTCTGCATTGTTTATGTATATATATAGGCTGATACTGTCATATAAATTATTCTTAATTTCAAAAAGGTAAAACAAAAGCAACATGAAAATGGGAAACCAAACTGTCATCTCAGAGTTTCTCCTCTTGGGCCTGCCCATCGAACCAGGTCAGCAAGATCTGCTCTATGCCTTGTTCCTGGCCATGTATCTTACCACCGTCCTGGGAAACCTCCTCATCATCGTCCTCATTCACCTGGACTCCCACCTCCACACACCCATGTATTTGTTTCTCAGCAATTTGTCCTTCTCTGACCTCTGTTTTTCCTCTGTGACCATTCCCAAATTGCTGCAAAACATGCAGAACCAAGACCTGTCCATCCCCTATGCTGGCTGCCTGGCCCAGATGTACTTCTTCCTGCTTTTTGCAGACCTGGAGAGCTTCCTCCTTGTGGCCATGGCCTATGACCGCTATGTGGCCATCTGCTTCCCCCTGCACTATACCACTATCATGAGCCCCAAGCTCTGTCTCTCCCTGATGATGCTGTCCTGGGTGCTGACCACATTCATCTCTTTGTTGCACACCCTGCTCATGGCGCGGCTCACTTTCTGCGCTGACAATGTGATCCCTCACTTTTTCTGTGACATGTCAGCTCTGCTAAAATTGGCCTGCTCTGACATTCAGATAAATGAAATCGTGATATTTATCTTGGGAGGGATTGTCATTATTGTTCCATTCTTGTTGATCTCTTCATCCTATGCACGGATTGTGTCCTCCATCCTCAAGGTCCCTTCTGCCAGGGGCATCCGCAAGGCCTTCTCCACCTGTGGCTCCCATCTCTCCGTGGTGTCTCTCTTCTATGGGACGATCATCGGCCTCTACTTGTGCCCATCAGCTAACAATTCTACTGTTAAGGAGACTATCATGGCTGTGATGTACACTGTGGTGACCCCCATGCTGAACCCCTTCATCTACAGCCTGAGGAATCAGGACATAAAGGGAGCCTTGGGAAGAGTCTTTTCAAAGTGGACAAATCAGTTTTCTCTGGGACAGTGACTCTAAAGATTAAAGAATGTTTTCAAATAGTAGGTGTAGTATTGACAATGAGTAGCATTCTGAAAAGTCTAGTGGCACCCAAGCTCGGCACTGCTAATGCAGCCGTCATGGCACTTCCAGGGGGACTTTTCCCACATGTCACTACAGGCAGGTCCATTGTGCCTTTTGGGTTTACCACTGTATGTCGGGTGTGATGTAACACAAGGACTGACATGTAGTGGACACGCAGTGATTATTATTCAATTTTGAACAAGTACTGCTCTAGTTTTGTTGTTTACTGCCCTCAAAGAATGTATAGTAGTTCCTAATTCTCTAAGAAATAAATACAAATTTCTCAGGCACTTCAGTGCTTTGCTCCTGCCAAACATATCTCTTCCGTGAAAGGTATCTTCCAATTTATTATGCACGTGTTCTTGTAATTTTTTACTCTCCAGGATCATCAGTTCTCCCCTCGAAGGTCTATTCAGTTCTTAATTTTATTTTCAGGTGTTGATTGATTCACCTAGTGTGAGAGTTGAGAGCCAGTGTGTCTCCGAGGCTGTCAGGATAAGAGGTGAGGGGAACCTGTAGTAGCAGCTAAGGTCAGAGCCCAGAGCCAGATGGAAGACATGACTGACTCTAAGAGAACCAGCAGAGTCAGTGAGCCCTGAGAAGGCCATCAGCTCCCTTCTCAAAAGAAAAGTCATGTACCATTCATGCTAAGAGAAGAGATGTCAGGTTCCATCAACAATGGACCTCCTCTCCTGAAGTCAAGAGGATACATAAGCCTCAAGAGTCTGGAAAAAGTAGAACAAAATCAACACAAAGAAAATAGGAGGAAAGAATTAGTAAATATAAACGTGAAAAATTAGTGGAGTTGAAAACCAATAAACAATAGAGTAATAATAACAAGCTAAATGTTGGTTCTTTGGAAATGTTAGTGATAACATAAAACATTGGCATGTAAAACAAGATAAAAAAAAAAAAGAGAGAAAACGTGGGGCTGGCCCCGTGGCCGAGTGGTTAAGTTCGCGCGCTCCGCTGCAGGCGGCCCAGTGTTTCTTTGGTTCGAATCCTGGGCGCGGACATGGCACTGCTCATCAGACCACGCTGAGGCAGCATCCCACATGCCACAACTAGAAGAACCCACAACGAAGAATACACAACTATGTACCGGGGAGCGTTGGGGAGAAAAAGGAAAAAATAAAATCTTTAAAAAAAAAAAAAAGAGAGAAAACGCATAAAAAAGAACTCTAGGAGTGAAAAAGGAGCAAAATTAACAACTAAAGATGCAGTTTTAAAATCATAATACTATATACAACTTTAAAACAAAAATTTTGAAAATGTGTGCAAAATTATCTTTTGGGAACTTAGATGTTACTAAAATTTGTTCAATATGATAAAAAATTGAATAGACTACAAATCATTGAAGAAGATGAACTTAGTTTTATGACTTTGGGACAGCAGCTTGATTTCTCTAAATCTGTTTCCTCTCTTCAGCAATGAGAATAAAATGGTATCTTTCTTGTGGAATCTTGTGAGGTTTAAACAAGACACGCAAAGAGCACTTAGGACAGTGGCTGGCAGGTAATAATTCCCCACTAAATGTTATCTTTTATTATATTTATTACAAGAATATCATTACACCATTGTAATAGTGAAACATTGGAAAAGCATAAATATTTATCAGTAAGGGAATAGTTAAACTGTAGAACATTACAGTATAGGGTTCTATACCATGAAGTTAAAAATGAAGTTCTATTTGTAGGGATAAGAAAAGATCTCCAAGACATATTGTTTCATGAAAAAGGGAAATTGCAGAATATATGTAAGGAAAGATAGATAGTATTTATGTTTCAAAACTGGAAAGAGAGAGAAAGAGAGAGGAAAGAGAGAAGGAGAGAGACAAAAGGTATTGATAGATTGATAACCCAGATGGGAGTGGAGATTGCACTGGATGGTGGTCAAGGAGAATTTTACCTTTATCTCTATTTTTGAATTTTTTTTTCCTTTTTCTCCCACAGCCCCCCGGTACATGGTTGTGTATTTTTAGTTGTGGGTCCTTCTAGTTGTGGCATGGGGGATGCCGCCTCAGCGTGGCTTGATGAGCGGTGCCATGTCTGCGCCCAGGATTCGAGTTGGTGAAGCAGAGTGCTCGAACTTAAACACTTGGCCACGGGGCTGGCCCCTATTTTTGAATTCTTACCGTGAAAATGGTAGATATAGTATCTAGGGAATAGAATTTTAAAAGGTTTAAATACTTTAAAAAATAGCTATATCTTTCCTGAATTTTCCAGAAAAGGAGTCTGCAAGGGTGTGGGCTACGGTACAGAATATTCAAAAAACACCTCTTTAAAAACCTCTTAGACCTGCGCTGCTTCTCAGGCGTGCTCTCCTCCAGCCGGTGCTGCCCACAGTGTCCTTCTCCCTCTCCATGAGCTACAAGACTTATTCTCTACTCCCATTTGTTCCCTTTTATTTTCCCAAAATTTAAAAGTAGACTCTATTTCGAACATTCAGACCATACAGAAGTGAATTTAGCTTATTGCTATGTACCCAACCCTATGAATAAACACTTTTTCATGTTTGCTTCAGGTCTAATTTTTAATTTAACAAGAAATAAGACGCTTGTAGGATCAAAACTGCTAGTGCTTTGGAAAGCTAAAAGAAAAAGGAGGGGTTCTTTTGTAATCATTATTATGGAAATGCCAGTGAATCCAGACGCGCCCTCACACCTCTTCGGGTGCAGCCCTCTGTCTAAGTCCCCTTTTTAGGGCGCCTTTGACCTCTTTGTTGCGAAGGCTGTAGATGAAAGGGTTCAAGGTGGGTGTGACCACCGCATAGACCACGCTGGCCAGGCGGTCGTAGCGGGCCGAGTAGGCAGACGACGGCCGGAAATAGACGGAGAGGACAGAGCCGAAGAAAAGCGACACGACCACCAGGTGGGCCCCACAGGTGGAGAAGGCGCGGAAACGGCCCCTTGCGGACCGCACTCTCAACACCGCGACGAGGATGCGCGAGTAGGACAGGGACACGAGGAGCAGCGGGGTCAGCACCACGACCAGGCCCTCCGAGAAGATAGCAGCCTCCGCGGCCGCCGTGTCCGAGATCGCCAAGCTCAGCATCACCGTCATGTCACAAAAGAAGTGGCGCACAGGGGTGGAGCGCGGGTAAGAGAGCGCGGAGATGAGCAGCGTGTGGAGCAGCGAGTGCAGGTGCGCCACCGCCCAGGACGCCCCCACTAGCACCGCGCAGCGCCAGGGTGTCATGACCGCGCCGTAGTGCAGGGGGCGGCAGACTGCCACCGCGCGGTCGTAGGACATGGCTGCCAGGAGGTAGCTCTCCGTGATGCCCAGAGCCACGAAGAAGTACATCTGGGCAAAGCACCCGTGGAAGGACATGGCCTGGCCTGGGTGGAGCAGGCCGGCCAGCAGTCTGGGGACCGTGACGGTGGTAAAGCAGACGTCCACGAGGCTCAGATGACCCAAGAAGTAATACATGGGGGAGCAGAGGGCCCCGTCGGATCTCACCAAGACCACAATGCTCACGTTGCCCAGGGCATTGAGCAGGTAGATGCCAAGGAAGAGCAGGAACAGCAGCGGGTGGACGTCTGTTCCGTCCATCAGGCCAAGGAGGAGGAACTGTGGGGCGGACGTGAGGTTGGCCAGGGCCATGGAGTGGCCAGGGAGGTGGGGTGCTGAGGGGAAAGATGAGGCAGCCGGCCTCAATTCGGGCACTTCTAGGTGGACCTCTGCATGTTGAGATTCCATGTAATATTTAAAAATTTCTGCTTGCTAAAATGGCTTGAAAACCACATTGTTCATCCAATAATCCTAATTTTATGAAGAAACTGAATCTCAGAAGGGTATACTAGAGTGGTGGGTAGTCTGAAGCTTTGGAGTAAATTAACCTGATTTTGAGCCTTGGCTCTGCCACTCAGGTGGTGTGACTTCTCTGAGCCTCAGTTTCTTCTTTAAATGAGAAAAATACCAGAAACTACCTCTGGAGTTGGTTGTGAGGATGAAATGCATAATAAACTTAAAATATTTAGCACTGTATCCAGCATATAATAAGCACTCAAAACTGTTATCTATCATCTACTTATCTCTATCTCTATCTATCTATCTATCTATCATCTATCTTCATCATCATCATCATCATCTGCTTAGTCAAACAAGTAGTTAGGGGCAGAATTAGGTCCCAGGCCATCAGAATACCAGTGTTTTCTTCACCAAACACTTTACTGCATTTGTCATTCGTTTATTCACCACATATTATGTGCTAGGTCAGGAATTGGCAAACCTTTTCTGTAAAGGATCATATAGTAAATATTTTAGGCTTATGGGCCATATAGTCTGTGTTGCAACAACTCAACTCTGCCTTTGTAGCGTGAAAACAGCCATCAATAATATGTAAATGAATGGCTGTGGCTGTGTTCCAATCAAACATTATTTACAAAACAGGTGGAGGGAGGGGTCAGTTTTGACATAGTTTGCTGACCCCTCTGCTAGGTACTGTGGGAAACAGGGAGAAGATGAGTGACCTAGAGCAGCTTGCAGAGTGTTTCATACTTTACTAATTTTATGAACCAAGTGGGAGTAAATTATTCCGCCAGCAGCAGTTTGGGAAGAATTCAAAGAAGGGATGGGATTTGAACTGGATCTTGCAGGGTTCACCCAACAGACATGATATGGTGTGGGAAGGGAAGTGCATTCTGGATAGGGGGAAGAGATCGTGTGGGGCTGTTGGTAGAGGTGGCATGAAATGAAGAAGGTAAAACCTCCACATATGACACTGGGATGAGATTTGTCTTTGCTCTGACCTCCGTTGACAGAAAACTTCAAATGTCTCAGGTGACTTCAGTTATCTTAGAAACAAGGCACTCATTTTGTCCCCCACTCAGTCTCTTCCTTAAAACACATTCTTTTCTCTCATTGCTCCAAAGTTTCTAGAAATGTTCTATCACTAGCCTAGCCCATCCCTACTTTACCAGGAAAGAGGGCCAGGCTTTGGTGAGATCCCGGAGTGGACAAAGTCAGTTCTTAGCAAGGAAGCTCCTTGCAGGAAGGAGCTGCATCTCACTGTCTTGCCCAGTGATCTGTACACAAAATTTACCCCGTAAATATTTGTTGAATGAAGCTTTTTAAAGAGCAATGAGTGAAAATACAGGTGAAGGGAGAGTGAGAGAGGAGATGATGGGCAAACCGCTGTGTCCAGGCCTGTCATTTCCCAGGAGAAGCCCCAGATCTATCCTACTTTTTCATTTTTCTGCTGCTGTCTCTCTGTCACCCATTGGCTGTCCCATGGAAATCATCTGCTTATGCCGACCCACCCTTGCCCCAACATAGAGCTGCAGTGTTGAAGAGCCAGGACCTTGGCATCTCTCCAATCCGTCTTCTCTTGAGGTTCGGGATTCTCCCCTGCAGAGCCCCTGACCTTCCCTCCCCACCTCCATGTGGGCAACTGCGTGATGTAGAGGAAAGGGCACTGGCTTCGGAGTCAGAGCCACCTGGGTTTTCATCCTGATTGGCTGTGTAAACATGGACCTGTCTTCATCTCATCTCCACTCTCCTCATCTATAAAATGGGGAGACTGATTATTCCTCTCTTATAGGGTGATGTCAAGATTAAATGAAGTAATGTGTGTATCAGCACATAGCAGGGAATGGATGCTCAGTACACGCTAGTTTCCTTCCCCTCAACTTCTGATGGTGTCTCCCTGATGCTCCTGGAGGCAGTCCAGTCCACTACTGGAGGGCTGTAGTTATCTGAGCATGTTTTTCTTAATCTCAACGGAAACCTGCTTCCTTGTAACTTCTACAAGCAGTCCCAGTTTCGGCCACTGGGGGCTACACACCAAATCTCCTTTCTCTGCAGCTTTTCACATAGTGTTCGAAGAAATCTACGTCTACTAAGTCTTCTTTTCTCTGACCCAAACATCCCTGGTGCTTAGATTCTTTTTTATAGGGCCTAATTTCCAGGTCCTTTTCCATTCTGGTCACCCTGTGCTTTGTCAATATTCTTAGCGGGAATTGGACGCAGTGCTCTAGCTGGGGTTGGGTTGTGTAGAGTTCCCTGGGGGCAGTTTAACAGCTCAGCTGTACACTTCACACCTATTTACTGAGTACCTGCTTTGGGTTAGGCATTGTGTTGGTCTCTAGGACCATAAAGGTGGGTCATCTGTTGTTCTTGACCTCCAGCTGTGCACCGTGTAGTCAGCACTACACTTACTGTGTGAACCAAGTAGGGGGGATTTTCTCTGCTTGGCTGATTCAGGGAAGATTCTAAAGAACAGGTGAGGTTTGACCTGGGGTTGAAGAATGAGGACATCACCAGATGGAGACTTGGGAGTGGAAAGGACCTTCCAGGCAGAGGGGAGAGAAAATGCGAAGGCAGAGGAAGATGTTTTGTGGGTGGGGAGAGCTAAAATGTGGCCTCATCCTCCCTGGTGCTGTCAGGCAGAGTGGAGCGGGGCGGGGAGGAGAATAAGACACAAAAAGAAGACAGCAGGGGCAGTTGGGTTCCCTCACCTGAAGGGCAGCATGCTAGGCCTCAACACAGTCTGCAGCGTCTGTGGACTGGCCCGCCTCCTGGCCAGAGGTCCTCCATCTTGAGGACAGATGCAGTGTCCTCCATCTCCACCCAGAGACTTCAGCTTGTTTCCTGTGGGCTGGAACAGCAGCCTTAAGGAAAGAGAAAGCCAGAGCTGTAAGGGCCCCAGGAATTCCCGAGCCATGCTCCTTCCACTCAGCTTTCCTGCCCTGCCAGTCTCCTTGTTGCCCATCGGATACAGTGCAAAGTGCTCAGCCTGGCACCCAAAGCTTCCAAACTTGGCTCCCGGCATCCTTTTTCAGTCTTAGTTCCAACTGCTTCCACATGCTTCTCCTTCCCCCACCCCAGCCTTTCTCGCCTGCCTTTCCTGCATACTGCTCCCTACCTGAAATGCTCTTTCTACCCTTTCCTAATACCCAGCTCTGGCTCCACCTCCTCCAAGAAGCCCCACCTCCTTTCTTGACTTCTCCAGCCCACACAAATGCCTTTCTCCTCTATCTCTTGTAACCCTCACTTGGAACTTAGCCCTCATTTGCTGGTGTTAAAGTGACTTTTTCTGCTGTGATGCTCATCTTCCCCACTGGATGTTGAGCCTTCTGAGGGCAAATATTTAGTTCTCTGTTCCTGTCTGGCCTTAGGCCTGGCACAGGGCTTTGTCTTAGCTCTCCTGGCAGTCAGGGAAGGCTCCACAGAGGAGGTGGCATTTGAGCAGGGTCAGCTTGAAGGACAAGGCATTCACTGGGAAGACAAGAGTGGAAGGGAATTCTAGAAAGAGGGACTAGCATGTACAAAGGAAATTAGAAAGGAAACCTCAGTGAAGCTACTTAACCTCTTGGAGCCATATATATTCACTTAGCAAACAGTAGGTGCTTATTAAATGTCAATTTTCTGTCCCACCCAGCCCCTAGTCACTTTTGGTGATGAGAGATATATTGACTGAGTTTATATTGGCTCCCCCTAAAGGACCTGGCATGGGACTGTTTTACCTGGATGCTGAGCTGCTGTTGTTGACTCAGAGTCCTTTCCTGAGGCCCTGGTATGGCAGGTGTCTGCTTTGAAATGGATAGGAAGAATTTAAGGTCACAAAATGAGGCAGAGATACTTAGGATTTGGGATCAGAACCCCCGTCTCCTGGGCAGCTTGCTGCCCTAAACTCTACGTGGAAAAGGTCACCTTTGTAGTAAACACTCAGGTGCACCAAGATACCAAAGTGCACAAGGATACAAGGACACAGACATATCCTGATAAACCCAGACACATGGACGTGCCAGAGACACACTCACACCCAGTAGGACAGGAATATACACATGTGGGCACACAGGGACACCAGCTTACAGTCATTTATGCACAAGCATAGACACTACGTGGATCCATCCATAGACGTACATGCCACATACACATGAAGACCCAAACACAGACCCCCACTCACAAAAATGTCAGAGACATGAAGAGACCACTGCAATTCTTCCAGGTGCGCTGAGACCTGCTCAGGAGTGGACACACAAACACCAACAACTTCCTCCTTCCTCTAACTCTTGCCTCAGGTCCCCATCTGCCTTGACAGAGCGGGGAGTAGGCAGTGGCCAACAGGGGAAACCATTGCTGGCCCCCAGCACTCTCAGTCCTGGGAGTTTCTATCCAATTCCTTGTGTCCACTCTCTTGCTGGTCAGCCCAGATTCTTCTGTCAAGGGTGTCCCAAATAGCTTTCTCTTCAACCACAGTTTTAACCTAAGATGAGCCCTTCCTGTTCCAAGGACTTCCTCCCCTCCCCTGCTTTCCTCTGTCACCTTCTCACTCATTTCTTTTCAATAATTTTCTCAGCAATCTTGCCTGTTGTATCTATTCTATGCCAAGCAGGTACTTGCAGCACCAGGCAGGGAGGGCATTCAGAACTGAATAAGACACGGTCAAAGAGTTTGTCTTCCTATCTTGGTATCAGGCAATTGGCAATGATTCTAAGACATCATCTCAGCCAACACCCACGTCACAAATGGGAAGCAAGGCTCAGAGAACACTGGACCTGAAGTCATTCAGCGATTTGGGGACAGAGTCAGAGTTTGAATCCAGAGCTCTGATTCCTACCCCTGGTTTTGTCCACTTCCCCATCCTGTCTGCCATGCAT